CAAAGTAGCAAGGAGATCAAATCAGTCAATACTTGTATTAATTCAGAGTATTCATTGGAAGGTCAACTACTGAAGCTGAAGCTTAAATACTTTGGCCACATAATGAGAAGACAGGTCTCATTGGAAAAGACCCTGATGTTGGAAAAGATCGAAGGCAGAAGAAGGGGACAGCAGAGGATGAGACGGACAGATAGTGTCATGGAAGCAACAAACGGGAGTTTAGACAGACTTCAGGAGATAATGGAGGATAGAAGGACCTGGTGTGCAGTTGTCCATGAAGTGACAAAGAGTTGGACACGAGTGAACAACAGCATAGGGGTTGTGGGAAGCTAGGCACACTAATGAATTGTTGTTAAATCTGTATGACCATTTTGGAAAGTTATTTGGAGTTACACAAAGTCATTAAAATGTCTGTACCCTTTGACCCAGAGTTCCACTACTAGTCTTTTACCCCAGAGAGGTCACTGATAAAAAGAAGCAAACTACCCCCCACTCCCCCCCCACACCCTGTACACCAAAATATTTATAGCAGCATCTTTTGTGGTAGCAAAGATTTGGGAAAAAAAGTAAATACTCACTGATTGGGAAAAGGCTAAACAAATTTTGATACCCTAATGTTGTTAATGTTACCATACTATAAGAAATTATTAATATGAAGAACACAGAGAAAATGGAAAGACTTAAATGAACTGATAAGCAGAAAGAAGTTAGCTGATCCAAGAAAACAATATATATATAGTGTAAATGGAAAGAACAACTACAAATTATATCCTTTTTTTAAGCTTTTAAAAAAAGATGAGCCTTCATATCAGAGAGTTTATTAAGAGAGCTTTTCAGTTTCTCAAAGGTAGTTCTCAGCTCATCCTCCTATTTAATTCTGGACCTACATCATTTTTGATTTACAGTATATCTTCAAAAGATAAATTGATAGGCCCTATGGGATGTCCATTCATGAATGTATCAAAATCTAAATAAGTCATCCTTCATTTGATTTTTCCCATGTGGATAGTTAGGCCATATTCTGAAGTATTAATCTCTACAGTGTTCATGAGTATCATGTTGATTATTATATCATCTGGAAGCAGTTGCATCTGGAAGTCTTCACTATTTACAGGGAATTTCTCTAACTTAGATTCTGTGGTAGATGGTCTCCATTATAGCTAGGAAGATAGAGCATTTACTAAGCACTTACTGTATATCAGGCAGTGTGCTCAGTGCTGGAGATGCAAATATAGGTAAGGAAAACAATCCTTGAAGCCCTCAGTGAGCTTTCTGCACTCTAGTGAGGAGGACAGCACAGAGAGGAACATGACAGTGGCAAGCACCTTTGCTGAGCCTTTGTTTTATATCTTGCTTGATGTTAGTGATTAGAGAGCTGTTGAACAATTATTTTATCTCTTTCAAGAAACTTTTGGGGCAGCTAGGTGGCAAAGTGTAGAGAGCACCAGCCCTGGAGTTAGGAGGACCTGAGTTCAAATTTGGCCTCAGACATTTACTAGCAGTGTGACCCTGGACAAGTCACTTAACCCCAATTGCCTCCAAAAAAAAAAGAAGAAATCTTGTGTAATTTTGTCACATGTGGGAGACCATCATCTGATGGAGGAGTCTTTAAGGCATTTTGTTCTACTGAATCAAATGTGTTTGACAGTCAAAATGAGCACTGCAGTCTTCTTTACCTTTCAGTCAGTTACATGATGGGGAAGATGTAGTCTACTGTGGAGTTCCACTTTCAGTGACCTCCATGTCCCTGTCAGGGATACTCCTGATGCTAAAATAAATGATTCTCATAAAAATTTGATGTAGCTGAGAATTTAGGTTTATGAGTCAATAATTATTGATGTTTTCTTAGTTTACTTTTTAGGTAATGATAAAGTCAGAGATTTCTTTTTTTACCCACCAAAAAACTTTTTTATTTTTCCCAATTACATGTAAAGACAATTTTTAACATTCAGTTTTTAAAAATTTTGAGTTCCAAAGTTTATTTCTCCTTACATTATTTCCCCCCCTCCCTAAGACAGTTAAACAGGTTATATATATACAAACATGTAAAACATATTTCCATATTAGTTATGCTGTGAAAAAAGAAACAGACTAAAAGGGAAAAAAAACCATGAAAAAATAAAATGAAAAAATAGTATTTTTCTATCTGCATTCAGACCCCATAGTTCTTTCTCTGAATGTGAATAGCATTTTCCATCTTTAGTCTTTTGGAATTGTCTTAGATCATTGTATTACTGAGAAGAGCTAAGTCTATCAAAGTTGGTCATTGCACAGTGTTGCTGTTGCTATGTACAGTGTTCTGGTTCTGTTCATTTCACTCAGCATCAGTTCATATAAGTCTTTCCAGGTTTTTCTGAAGTCCCCCTGCTTGTCATTTCTTATGGAACAGTAGTATTTCATTACCTTCATATACCACAACTTGTTCAGCCATTCCCCAATGAATGAGCATCCCCTCAATATCCAATTCTTGGCCACCACAAAAAGAGCTGCTATAAATATTTTTGTACCTGTGGGTCCTTTTCCTGTTTTTGTGATCTCTTTGGGATACAAACCCAGAAGTGGTATTGCTGGATCAAAGGGTATGGGTAGGGTATGCCCTTTGGGCATAGTACTTTTATATATTCTTCCCCCCCCTTTTTTTGTGAGGCAGTTGGGGTTAAGTGACTTTCCCAGGGTCATACAGCTAGTAAGTGTTAAGCATCTGAGGCTGGATTTGAACTCAGGTCCTCTTGACTCCAAAGCCAGAGCTCTATTCACTGCGCCATGTAGCTGCCCCTCTATATACTCTTTTCAGCTGCTTTTCCTATTTTTGTCCTCTCTTTTTCTTTTTCTGTATACATATATGGGCCAAATAGAGTCCAAATATGGTAGTTCCACCATCCTTACTGGTGAAAACAGTATGTTATAAGAATTCCTACAGTGTTTCCACATTCTTCTGCTATTTATTATCCTCTTTCCAGTTATATCAGTAAAACAGCCTTGCTTTGTTGAGTCTCTTTAAACTTCCTTTTCTTGTTTTATGTGGTATGCTGCTCATAATCCTTCATCATCCTTTAAAACCCCAAGTTATCTCTATGCCATAATGAAGCATCGACATAGGATTTCCAGTATAAAGATAGAGGGATAGTGATAGAGACTGAACTGATAGAGATTTCACTAGTGTAGGTGAATACCCTGGTAAGGAAACTCCCTTTGCCCCAATGATTGTGTTGGCTTTATCTCATATCCTGTCCTTGGGGTTAAGCTGTTCTTTATAATTTCATAAAATTCAGTTTTATTTGTGGTGATTTTTCGTTCCATTTATACTTTTGTAAATATTATAAATAATTATTTTCCTGGTTCTGCTTACTTTGCATCAGTTCATATCTTTCTGTACTTCTCTATTCATTATATTTATCATTTCTTACAGTAAATAATATTTCATTACATTCATGTACCATGATTTGTTTAGGCATTCTTGCATAATACACATCCACTTTGTTTCTAATCCTTTGCTACCAGGCAAAGTACTGCCACAAATGTTTTGGTGTTTATGAAAGCCTTTGTGCCAGGGGAGGATGGGGTGGAGTGACCTCCTTGAGGTATGTGCCTAATAGTAAGTCAAAGAATGTAATAAAATCTTTTGTAACTTGTGAGTCTCGGATACTGAGGAAGGCTTACAATAAGACACACATTGTGTATATATGTATATGTGCGTCTATAAAATGTGTAATGCCAAGTTTATAACTTGTAGATCAGTGGTTTTGCAAAAGAATGTAAGGTTGTATGCTAAGGTGTTTCAGGATCACAAGTCTTTATATCAAAATGTGAATTTCTTAATGCAAACACAACCCAAATATTACAAAAAATTTTTGTACATGGTTACAGATTTTCTTTCATTGTACTTTAATTTAAAATTCCTTAATTCAGAATTGGAGCTGGGTTAGACACATATAAGAAACAACTTATTGACCAGTGCTAAATTTCAGGGGAGAGTTTGACAAAGCAACTTTTGGAATTTTTTCTTTATGGATTTTAATAACCCAATAGATTTGGAGAGAGAGAGCGAGGAAGAGAGAATGTATGTATGTTTGTGTGTGTAGGCATTGCTTATACTACTTTTGTGGTCAGATTGTCAAACCCAGGTTGTTGAACTTTATACTTAAAAATGAAAATTGAAAGAAAATCTGAAGTTGAGGGTAGTGAAAAATAATCAGCTAGCGTTTTGGGGGCATCCATTGTGTGTTTTATACTAGGTGCTATAGAATAAAGATGAGGAAAAACATAGCCTTGAGCTCTTCTAGTCTGGGGTTGAGTAGTCATGTTTTAAATAACTAGAGTTCACAAGGAGACATGCATGATAATGTAGTTCCAGCCATATGAATAAAGACAAAGAGAATTATAAGGAAGTAATCTGCTTCAATTAGAGTTAAAGTCATTCTGGAAATGTCTGCTTTGGTTGGACAAGTCAAATTATACTTGACTTCCAAAAGAGGTAAATCTTGAGCTAGGTCCTAATTCCAGAGCCTTCCAAATAAGGAGACAAAAACAGAGATGGGTACAGCCTTGTGCACAAATACAGGAAACATTCCTAATAGTGGTGGAGAGGCTTCTTTGTGGAATAGTGAGATATTAAGTGTGATATGGACCGGGAAGACTGAATTTTGCAGCATCATTTATGCTATTTTGAATTTAAGCAGGCAGTAGGGAGTCACAAAAATGCTTAAATAGAATGCTATCATGGTAGAAATAATTTGCAAAAAGATTATTCTGGTATGACATGGTATAAAGCATGGACTGAGATGGTGGAAAATTAGAGGAATAGTGACCAAGTTGAAAGCTTGTCAAAATTATTTAACAACTTTCTTCTCTGTTGCTTTTCATATTATTATTCTATTAGAATTTTAGGTGCCATTTTAAGGAGCTTAATTTTAAAAGAAAGCAATTAAAGCATATGTAATCAGCTTCCTTACTATTGGGGTTTCAGCATTACCCTCTAAATCTTCCAATTCTCTCTTCAGTTATTAGAAAAACATAAGAACACAGAGAGTATGGTGGAGCTTCTTGACCTATATCAGATGGAGGATGAAGCCTATAGCAGTCTTGCAGAAGCCACAACTGAATTATACCAGTACTTATTACAACCATTTCGAGATATGCGGGAACTTGCAATGCTGAGAAGACAACAAATAAAGGTACACATTTTTCTGTCTAGTAATAGTAGCCTACCTGAATTGTATGTAGTGTCTTCGTATTTTGGTTTGGCACTAATGAGAATGAACTGGATAGTTTTGTAGCTTCCCTTCCCTTCTCACCCTCCCATCTGCCTCATCTTGCTTGGCATAGGCTTGAGGGAAACTGTTGTTTTGGAATTCCTTGTACCTAGAGGGTCCACAGTCATGAGGATGATTTGGTGAGGTCGCAGAATTTCAACCCCATGGCATTCATTTTTCATGTTTAGATAATGTGGATCAGATTTATTGAAATGCAGGTATTAACAATTGAATTTACCTGTCTTTTGTACTTGATGGTGTTGAACTAATATATGAATTTCTTTTTTGATAAATTACCAGTCATTCTATTAAAATAAATTTTCTTGGAAATACACATTGACAGTTTACCATAAGAATTTTTGTCTCTTTGAATAATGATGAGAAAGGAAGCATGCTAGTTTATCTTGTTTTGATAATGCTTAGAAACTTACTAAATAATTATACAAGAAACTCAAGCTTTTTTTAAAATTTGCATTTGTGATCTTTGAAACTCTTGGGTTGTCAGTCACTTTAATCTCTTAAAACTAACCTTTTTTTTAAGTGGTACTGCTTCATAGTGAACAGAGTCCTGGACTTGGAGTTATGAAGACTCAGGGTCAGATATTGCTTCTGACTCTAATGGTGTGACTGAGGGGCAAGTCACTTAACTACTCCGAGCCACATGCTTCTAGAATGTAAAACGGACATAATTCTTGTAGTGAGGTAGCAGGGGATAGTGGAAGGAGCATTGGCTCTAGAATCAGAGGGCCCCAAATCCTCCCTCTGTTTGTACTTTGGGACTAGTCTCTTAACCTTCTTGGAGTTCACTTTTTTTACTGTAAAATGGAAGGGGAGGGGCAAGACTAGAGGGCCACTGAGGTCCTTTTTAGTTCTAGATCTGCTCGGTCACTCTCATCAGTTTGTTGGGAGACTCAAATGAGACAATAGATGTAAACACTCCATAAATTTTAATGCACTTTATAAATGTCAGTTGTTATATTAAACACTGCCCAGATTTTCTGTCAGCAGACCTTTTTTTCTGTACATATTTGTTTAGATTTAAACTAACCTTTTTTTTCACTTTGAGAAGCTCATTTTCAAAACCGGAAGAGGTCATCAATTAATTTTGAGTCCAGTTGGATGCATTACTCAATACCAGATCTTTTTGATTGAAGAGTTGTAGCCCCTTCCATATCTTATAGAAAATGTTGCTTTTAAAATGAAGATATTTGAGTAAGAATAATGTAATTAAAATATGTCCTTTTTTTTAAAGACACACATGTATTTTTATATATGTACATTCATATATATATGTACTGAATGATCATGAGAGAAGTTATACCTCCATTTTTCATAATGTGTTTACTCTTTGTCGAATGTGGTTTTTGTTAGGGTAGACCTATTAAAGCAGTAGAAACTATTTCATCCCATAGACTTGCAATTTGGTCTTTCTGAGCACAGTTTTGATTTGCTACAATTTTATTTATTTGTATTATGTAAAGAATGTTGGTGTTCAGAATATTGGGGCATATTCCTGTCCATTTAGTAAATACACATTTGTGCCAATGATATGTCTGATATACTATGCTAATAAATTATCAGTGATGAAAATAAGAGCATTTGAAAAATTTCACTAGTTAAAAGTGGTATAATTTACTTTAATGTCACTTATAACTAGTTTAATGCATTGTTGAGAGAGCCAACGTGGAGAAAAAGCTATCTTAGAATATTATCATATTGGTCCACATGTATGGCACATTTGCACCTCCCTTCCTCCCCCTCCTCAAAAAAATCTGGCTTTTACAAAACCTTGAGTGTCGCCTGTTGGTATTAATATTTTTCACTGTTCTTTACATTTTTTAAAGTGTATATTCTGCAGTTTGTTAATAGCTAATGAGTGTTTGTAAGTACATTTTGGAAAGTAACCTGGAAAAATGTTCATTTTTCCTGTATCTCCCCTACCTACAGTTCCAGGGCAACTTTCTGCTCTGTGCCTCAGAAATAACCACCCTAGGCAGTCTGCTTCATGAGATTCAGATAGTTACTAAATTATTCTTGGTTCCCAAAGATTCTGGAGATCTTGGTTTAACTTTGTTATTTATGGCTGCTAGAGCTCTATTTTTATTCTGAACTTAAGCATTAAAAAAAAACCCTAAGCCTTTCTATCTATACAGTAGAACATAAAAGGGAATATATATGTATATGTATATACACACACACATACATACGTATATTGTATATATGAAACTGAGTTGTCAAGTCAGCAAGTGCCTTCTAAATGCCCAGGCACTATGGATACAAAGGAAGGCCAAAAAAAAAAAAGTTTCTGCTCTCAAGGAGCTCACAATCTAATAGGAAGATGGCAGTAAGAAAACAGCTATGGAAATAGTAATAGGAAAATGACTATGTACAAACAAGATAAACATGGGATAAATTGGAGATTTATCAAAGGGAAGATACTATTATTAAAGTGTACTTTGAAAGATTTCTCACAAGAGGTGGAACTTTAGCTGAGATATGAAGGAAGCCAGGAGGTGGAGAAGAAGAGGGAGAATGTTCCAGGTACAAGGAAGTATTTAGTTCCAGCTAATGAAGATGCTTGGAGTTAGGAGATACTGTCAGCAAGGAGGCTAATGTCATTGGTCATCCCCTTGACTACCAGTCAGTAATCATTCTCACTCCCCACTTAAAACCCATAAAGCAATTAATTTATACCAAGTAATTCTTTTCATGTATCTTTTTTTGTGTGTTGAACATGAACTAATTAAGGTTGATCAGGAGGGCAGGGGCTGTGTTATTTGACGTACTGGCTTCTTAGAGCCATGAGCCAAGACTAAAAAGAAAAAAATGTGCGTGTCTGCGTGTGTGTGTGCATACGCGCTCTCATTTAATTTCATCTTTTAGAGATGGGGGAGGGAGAAATGTTCCAGGTGTAACTAATGTGCCAAGATGATAGCAGTGTCAGAGGACATAGAAGTTATCAAGGTATTAATAAGATTTGACTATTGCATATGAGAGAATGAAATGAGAAAGAAGTGAGGAGGAAAGGGTGATAGCTAGGTTACTAGTCTGGGTAACTAGGAGATTGGTGGTACCCAATAATATGAAAGTTTAGAGGAAAGGATTGGGTGGGGGGGGAAGATAATGAGTTAACTTTTGTAACTTCACTTTTTGTGAATGCTAGGTTTAAAATGTCAATGGGACATCCAATTCATGATGTCTAAAAGGCAGTTGAATTCTGTTTAATAGTTCAGGACTGATAATAGGGTAGTGGCAATGGGAATGTAGAAGAGGATTTATAAAACATTTTGAGTGACATTAGAGTTAGAATCAATAGGACTTGGCAACTTACCAGATATGGGGAATGATAATAGTCATTCTGGAGATGGGAGTCTCGTGTTTGGTAGAAAGGGCAAGGCTAGAGTTATGGATTTAAAAGTCATCTGTGTGGAGATGATTGTTGAAACCATGAAGAAAAAAAACAAAAATGAGATTGCTAAGGGGCAGTTGGAGGACTAAAAGGTCTAAGACAAAATCTGAAGGAACATTAACTTTAAAGGATCTGAGAAAGGGAAGACAACGAGGAATTCACAAAAGGCGTAGTAGTCTGAGTAGAAGCAGAAGTATCTAGAAGACAGTAGAGTAGTCATCAGTGTCAGAACCTAGAGAAGAAAGGCCAAAGAGAATGAGGACTGAGGCTTTTGATTTGGTGACATTCTGAAAAAGCTTCAGTAGAGTGATGGGAATGGAGAACCAGATTGCAAATGCAGAAAGTGAGGTAAACTACCTTGTCAGTTAGTTTGGTGGTTTAAAAAAAAATGTGATAGATAGAAGAGAGACGGAGTAGAAGGGTTTAGTCAAGGCCTTTTTTGGATTGGAGAGACTTGGCATGTTTTTAAGCAGATGAGAAATACACTGTGGAAAGAGAAAGTCCTGAATATGCATATACATGAGGAAAAGGAGGTGATTTGGACTAAAGGCCTAGGAACAGATCAGACCAAGGATACAAGTAATAAAATTAGCCTTAGGAAGAAAAAGAGAAAGGACAAATATATTGAGAATCACAGAAATGTCAGAAGTGGCCTTAGAGGCCATCCAAGATGAAAATTCCTTAATCTACAGTGGTGGGGGGGGGATAACACCATACCATTTCCTGGAGCAGCTCATTAAACTTAAGAATACTTCATTAGAACTACTTAAGGAGGTCTCTTTATATGAAGCCTAGAATTGCTACTTGCAACTTCCACCTGTTCCTAGTTTTTATCTAAACAGTCAACCAATTTCAAAAACAACGAACTCTAATACTGTCTAACCCACATCTTTTTTCTTGTCCACAAAGATAGCTAGGCAAAAATCTAAGGCATCTATATCTTCCCTGGGCTGCCAGTTTTTGTTAAGTGCCAAAAAAAAAAAAAGAAAAAAAGAAAAAAATAGAAATGTGATTAGTCTGTCATGAACAAAAAAAAAAGGAAATGTGATTAGTCTGTCATGATTTCTTCTTTGCAGTCACTGCTTCCTTTTCTACATGTTTACGAACAATCCCTTTAACAGCGCTGTTGTCCAGGAAAAAAAAACCCTTTGTTTTAATGGTCTAGTTTTTCTCCAACAAGCTAGATCCTGGACTTCAACTGCTCCCTCTTTGCTGGACCCTCCCGTATCTGTTTCTGGAAGCCTTCACACCAAAAGTTTCTTATTTTTGGTGGATTGTTGCCCAAATGCCTGTAACATCAGAGGGAAGAGACCAATCAGCCCAGGGGTGTCTGTCTCCTTTCCCAGTATCGCTTTGAAGCTGTCAGTCTTGCCTGAGCATAGGAGATCAGCTGGTGCCCTTGTTTGGAAGTGTTAGATCCAATGTGGAGGGTTAGTGGGCTGCCTTGTTACTGTTGCCTGGCCTTTCTAATAAAGGGGCGTAGTACTGAATTTTCAGCTTTGACTGGCTCATC